TAAGCATTGTGAGGATGCTTCTCCCTCATAGTGTTAACAACCCCAAAATCTCCCATCTTGTAACTGAATGTTTGAGGATTTTCCCTTAGTTTTAGAACGTTGGACTTCTTCCTGTTTAATTTCATTCTGTTGTTTTTAGCATAGTAATCCAGCCCGTCAAGATCTTTTTGAATTTTGCTTCTGTCTTGTATTCCCCCCAATTTTGGGTCATATGCAGATGTGAAAACCATTCCTTGCCCTCCCCCATCCGAGTCATTCATGAGAATTTTAAAGAGTACCGAGGCCCAGGATAGAGCCTTGGAATATCCCACCAGGACATGGGTCTGGCCTGCTCCTTCCCACTTTTAAAAACTCTGAGGCTGTAGTGCTTGAACTCATTTGATGCAATTACTGGGGAGTCATTTACTATATTCTCAGAGCGTATCCATTCCAGATGGCAAATCTTGGGTGAAATGGAAACAGCTTATGGAAATGGAAATATCTTACGAAGATATCTGCTCCAAGTCTTTCCTTGAATATCAGCCAAGTGTCCGAATCCCAAGAAATAGTACTCTTATTTGGCATGGGTTAGGTTCATCATTAGTACTGTGTCCAATTTAGGATAGAGCACTTGTAGACGGATGCCAAGAAAAAACTGCAAGATGATCAGGGGGCTGGAAACCAAGCCTTCTAGGGAAAGACAGAAAGAACTGGGCATGTTTAGCTTTGAGAAATGAAGAGAGAGAGAGAGATGACAGCATTCTTTAAAGACTCAAAAGGTTCTCACACAAAAGACGGACAGGATCTATTGTCGGTGACTTCACAGTACAAGAGATATAGTAATTGGTTCAGGTTATTGTTGTTCGGTCATTAAGTTGTGTTTGACTCTTCGTGACCCCATGGGCCAGAGCACGCCAGGCCCTCCTGTCTTCCCCTGCCTCCCGGAGTTGGGTCAAATTCATGCTCAGAAATCCAATGACACTGTCCAACCATCTCATCCTCTGTCGTCCCCTTCTCTTGCCTTCACATTTTCCCAACATCAGGGTCTTTCCAGGGAGTCCTCTCTTCTCGTGAGATGGCCAAAATATTGGACCCTGACCTTCAGGAAATGTATTTCCAATGAGCACTCAGGGTTGATTTCTTTCAGAATGGATAGGTTTGATCTACTTGCAGTCCAGTGGACTCTCAAGAGTCTCCTCCAGCACCACCATTCAAAACCATCAATTATTTGGTGGTCAGCCTTCTTTATAGTCCAGCTCTCACTTCCATATATCACTACTGGAAAAACCATAGCTTTCACTATGCAGACCTTTGTCGGCAAGGTGAGGTTTCTGCTTTTTAAGATGCTGTGTAGGTTTGTCATCATTTTCCTCCCAAGAAGCAGGCGTCTTTTAGTTCACTGATGCACAGGATGTCAATATTTGTTCTTGCCATCTCCTGTTTGACCACATCCAGCTTACCAAGGTTCATAGATCTTACACTCCAAGTTCCTATGCAGTATTCTTCTTTGCAGCATTGGATTTTCCTTTCACTTCCAGGTGCATCCACAGCTGAGCGTCCTTTCGGCTTTGGCCCAACCACTTCATTAGCTCTGGAGCTACTTGTCCTTGTCCTCCACTCTTCCTCAGTAGCATGTTGGACACCTTCTGACCTGAGGGGCTCATTTTCCAGCGAGTCAAAGAATTGTCCGCTGAAGAATTGCTGCTTTTGAATTGTGGTGACCGCCAAAGAATTGATGCTTTTCGTGCTGGAGGAGACTCTTGAGAGTCCCTTGGATGAGACGGTTGGACAGTGTTATCAAAGCATGAATTTGACCCAACTCTGGGAGGCAGTGGAAGACAGGAGGGCCTGGCGTGCTCTGG